GAGGTTCTCCTGCTCGTATTGAGCTGCAAGTTGTTCTTCATCCCCGAGCTGCGTCTCTTCCTCCAACGTCTGAGCTACATTATTAGTAGCACCGGGAGTTGTTTGTCCGCTGGTTTCATTTCGTGCAGCGGAACTTGGCGAGTTGAATATCCCTCTTCGGATTCCCACCGGGTTTCCTGCACTTAAAGAGCGAACACGAGTTTGTATAGTATTGACGTTTTGACTAAGAGATACCTGGGATGTTTGCAACGTATCGACGGCCTTCTCCACATCCGAGAACTTTTGTGATATGTCCGACATGGTTTGCTGCATAGCTTTGAGGGTTTCGGCCAATGATGTCTCAACGGCGTCTCCTCCGGACATTGTTGCTTATCTCGGAAATGTAGAAAAGAAGAAAACTGACCACTCAAGAATCCTGATATCCCCACAGACGGCGCCAAAATGTGGATGTCGGATTCACACACTCAAGTATTTTATTAAGTAGGAAAGATTATTCTTGAGGGACAAAAATGAATATGTAAAAAGCTTGTAAATTGTTACGGAAATTGCTACCGTATTTCTTTTTTTGAGAGGAAGATCCCCTTTACATGGCCATTGGCCTCTATATTTATACATAGAGAAACGACATTAAAATGAATAATTAAGTACAATTATTCCTTCTTAAATGTGTCCGTTTTGATTCTTCGATTTTAATGCTCAACGTTTGAATTTGAGTTGACTCTGATCTTCATGGGCCTCGCCTTTTTGGCCCAAGTGTCCTTGAACCGACTTACCCGTGTCTTCTACACCGAACTCGTATCACAGTGCAGTCACTTCGGATTCTCGAAGTGGTGACAACCACTTCGACCGTCCCCTCGGTTCACGGGTCCAATGGGCGTCATCCTTTATGGGCCATTTTCTTGACTACGTGGCAATCTTTGGTTGGTCTCGTACTTCTGGTGCGGGATTCGACACCAACATACTCTTTTCAACTCTCTTATTGGCAAGATGAGTCTTCTTTCTATATACGGCTCATCTTGAGGGAGGATATTAGTCTATATGACCGGTTTGTGTAAACCAGAATCAAACCAGAAGTCTCTACTATATAAAGAGACTCTCATGTAACAGAAACTTTAAGTTGAATAACAAACTTTTTCCTTCTTCCTCGTTTTCTCTCGAGAACTTGCAACTACTATCAGTTAGATTTGACTACATTCTCCTACTCTAGCTACGAGACTCTCGTTTTATCTCATTATGCTAAATTTTCTATATGGTTTTATCCTCTCTTGCAGGGAGAGAATCTAGTTGTGGCTGTTGATGATGATGGGTTGTTTACTGAGAGAATTACCCACTTCAGTGGCCTTTACGTCAAAGATGCAGACAAAGATATAATTAAAGCTGTGAAGGTGATTACAGATTGTTGATGGTGGGTTTTGGTCTCGGGCCCAAACCCCCTGTCAAGGCCCATCATTCCCACGGCCCAGCACTCTTCAAAGATAACCTGAGGCCCGTTTAAGGCCCGTTAGGTGCTCCACCAACCAGGAGGGCAAAAAAGACATTTTACACGCACAGGGTACCCTACCCCTGTACCCTATAAATAGAAAAAAAGAATGATTGGAAAGGGATCCCGAAATAACCGCTTTTACAGAGAATATCGTACAACCGTCAAAGCACTTTGCGGCTCGGCTCGTACTCTAAGTTTTTAGTTCGTCTATTTTTGTAATCGTCGGCTCATTATTTAAATAAGTGATTTTTCTTTCACCCTTGTGTGATTTTGAGGATCAACACAGATGTCTAATGATCTGTCATGTCTCTTAGAGGATTTTAGTGCACTTTTGGACTAGTAAATTGGTTTATAGTAAGTAACACTTTTTGGTTATTTCAGGCCAAAGGCAGGCTTGTTAAGTCCGGGAGCTTTACTCACTCATATCCATTCTGCTGGCGATCAGACACTCCTCTCATATATAGAGCAGTTCCGAGTTGGTATGCTTCATGTTTCATATGAGTTTTGGCTAAGATCTTTTTTTTTGGCCTTTGTTCACCAAATTGTTTAGTTTAGGATATTTTGATTTTCTATGTTTTGGAGTTTATCTATTTGATGTTAACTATAATTTTCATGAGTGGTTAGAACTTTGAAGTTTGTTCGTGTTTAACTTGTTAGGTTTGTACGTGTGGAGCAGTTGAAAGAAAAATTGTTAGAAAACAATGAAAAGACGAAATGGGTACCTAAATATGTGAAGGTTAGTGGAAGAAAGAATCAATAATATTATTACAAGTTTAAATCGTTTAGATGAGTTACTTATATGATTGTAATTTTCTTGGTTAACTTGCAACTCAGGATAAACGTTTTCACAATTGGCTTGAAAATGCAAGGGATTGGGCAGTCAGCCGAAGTAGATTTTGGGGAACGCCTCTTCCGATATGGATCAGCCATGATGGAGAAGAAGTTGTGGTCATGGATTCAGTTGAGAAGCTTGAAAAGCTTTCTGGTGTCAAGGTATTTGATTGATTGTTGCTAGAAAGTCTTCTTAATATGAGGGTCTTTGGTTTTCTTCTTCTTATTGGAGAATTTTGGAAAAAATATATATATAATGCTCATTTGCTTTTCTGATGACTTATGGTGCAGGTATTTGATCTGCATCGTCACCATATTGATCAAATTACAATCCCATCTAGTCGCGGTCGTGAGTTTGGTGTGCTCCGTCGTGTCGAAGATGTAAGATGGATCTATTTTTTGCTTTTTTTTCCATTTGACTATTAATCCGTGATTGTCTATATACTTATGATTATATATGCTTTTTCAGGTATTTGATTGTTGGTTTGAGAGTGGGTCAATGCCTTATGCATATATCCATTATCCGTTTGAGAACAAGGAGCTATTTGAGAAGAACTTTCCTGGTGATTTTGTTGCTGAAGGGCTTGATCAAACTCGTGGATGGTTTGTCATTCCAAATCTTGAATTTTTTGAGAAATATAAGCGTATTTTATATGAAATTAATAACTAAACTTGTAGTTTCGTATCAACAGGTTTTATACTCTTATGGTTAT